ATTTAATATATAATAGAAATCTAATCTTATGCATCCAAATCACAATGAAATGAAAAACATTCAGCACTACAACATTAAGAAAATAACACATATTTGTACAATACCACAAAAGTAGTACTTTGAGGGGAATGTAAAACTAGAAATATTTATTTCTAAGTTCTTAAAAATACAGGTGAATATATTTGTCTCTATAGAAACATGGGTGATCGGCTTCAGGTTCCCCAAGTATATCAAAAGCCCATGAATGCTAAAGTCTCTTGTATAAAATGACTTAATATTTCTACATAACCTACACACATCCTTTTGTATACTTTAAATCATATCTAGATTACTTCCAACACTTACTACAATTTAAATGCTATGTAAATAGTACTTTATACTTCCCTTCAGCCTTGAGGGATTTCTTTGACAAATTCATTGCTTTCCCTCGCTCCACCCCCCACTTTTTCTTGAAATTTTCAGTCAGTGGTTGACTGACGCATAATAACACGATGATACGAATGGCTGACTATGTACTGTAAGTTTTACTATTGATGGAAATGAAAGTAATAGAGGTGTTAAGAAGTATACCTGAAGAGTCCTTTGAATGTAATTCAACAGAATTGTAACATTGTGTTTATGAACATAGTGTTTGTAAAAAGAGCAAGAACCACAAGAGGATGGCCACATCTAACTTTTACCAGTTTAACAAAGGGGAACTGCTCAGCATTCCTCAGCAACACAGAACCAATTCTTATGAGGTCAGATATGTCCCACATGCCCTCATATCTCTTTCTACTCATGTCGACACCAATCTTACTGCTTAACTGGTAGCTCTGATGTGATGGCTCACAGACCACACAGAACCACATTGGGGAAATTAAAAGGTTATAATCCGTATTAGTAGCAGAATACCGTCAGGACAACTTCTGAAATGTGCTTGCAGGCACCTCAGCCTTGCTCCTTGCTTTTAAGGTTAGTGTTACAAGGTTTTCAGTCCTGCCAGTATTGGTTCTCTCCCCAACCCCACACACTACCCCCTGCCATTTGTCAAAGAAACTGAAACAAAGTCTCCTAGTTTACCTCTGGTTCTGAACAGTCTGTGGGAGTTTGCAGTCTGCTTCATCTCATTTTGGCTTTCTCTGCTTTGGTCATGTCTATATGGCTATATAGCTTCTGTCATACATTTAAAAGGCCTAATTTCTGGGTCTGAAAGATGTGTTACATTCTCTCACTTCTTTGCTGGCAGGTAAGATCATTCTTTCTGCTCCTGGATCTCTCAATTTAAAGGTGAGACTAGCCAGTCCCCTTGTGGAGAGGCTAACATGCCCTATTCACTTATTCGTGTCCATTTATATGGCAAAGTCAAATTAATGGATAAGAAAGGCATTTTGAGCAATAGAATCCACAGGATTTTTCTAATGGTATTTTTGCACTCTGCTGTTCATTGAAAGCAATAATAAGGGAGTGCGTAGAGAAGATAGATGTGTGTAGAAATAATTATTTTCCTTAATACGTTGAGTATGTTTTATTCTTTTACAGCCAGAAAAATCAGAAGTATGAAACTCTTTGTAAAAATAGAGTAGGCAATGACTTATATGTTGAAAGGATGATGCAGACTATTAATGGAGCACCAAAAATGAAAGAAGTTCAGTGTGACAAAATCATAATGGAGGACAAAGGTAACATAGCTGTTAAGTTTACATAGTGGCACCATATGTTGCAGAGAAGAGCTGCTTCATTTCGGGTTTTTGGCTGTAATATTTATGGAAGGAATCTACCAGGTCTCTCTTCTCTAGAGACATTGGATGGGATCACACAGTCGATCTTCAGGTTAGCAGCCAACTGCAAACAAATTATGCTATCAAGCCTCCTATAATCTACTTCAGAAACTGCCCTATTTCAGTATATTTTGTATTATCATATTGTTATTGGTTTGCATGCAATCACTTGTACATATTGTATTTCATGCATATAGATTGTGTTTTATACAATCTTTATTTACATTGTCTTTCAGTCAGATACATTGTTTTGTACAATCATTCCCATATATTGTAGTTTATATAATTAATTACTATTATGTATGTGCCATTATCACCCTATCTTTTTAAGTTTCCGTTTCACATTACCTTCTTTCATCCCTTCGATCTTCCCATGAACTTCCACTATCCTAGTGATTTCCTTCCTTTCCATTCTTCTTCCTTCTTCTTTCCCCTTCCCTTTTGAACATTTATACACATCTTGCTCGAATTATCCTTCTGTATTTACAATGATGGTCGAGTATTTGTCCTCATGAAACTGAGTTAGTTCACTCAGCATCACGTTCTCTAAACTCTCCCATGTTATATAATGTTTTACAAAATAATTGTTCCTTATTGCAGCATAGTATTCTGTTGTGTGAATATACCACAGTTTCTCAATCCATTCATTCGTTGATGGACATCTAGCCTGTTTCCATTTTCTTATTGTGAATAACGCTGCTATGAACATAGTTATTCATATCTCCATTTGTATCTTAGTTCTGATTTCCTTGGGGTATATTCTTAGTAGTGCAATAGCTGGCTCATATGGGATTTCTTTCCTTTTTTTAAAAAATTGTATTATTTTTATGTGTACCGTCAAATCAGAGCTGACTGGTACGGGAGGAGATTGCCCCCTCCTTCTCCAGCAGAGCATCTGGTGGATTTGAACCACGTACCTCTGGGATTACAGTGCAACGTCTTGCCACTAGGCCACCAGAGCTCCCTTTCATATGGGATATCTTATGTTTAACTTTTTGAAGAAACGCCAAACTGCCTTCTACGGTGGTTACACTATTTTACAATTCTACCAGCAGTGCATGAGAGTTCCAATCTCTCTGCATCCTCACCAAAACTTATTGTTTACTGTTCTATTAAACTTTACTAAATTGGTCTGCTAGGTCTAACTGTTTTTTGGTTGAGTCTTTGGGATTTTCTTTGGACACTATCATATTGTCTGCATATAGCAATTGTTTTGCCACCTCTTTGTTAATTTGGATGCCTCTTATTTCCTTTTCTTGACTTATTGCCCTAGCAAGTACTTACAATACAATATTGAGTAGGAATCATGACAGTGGGCATGCTTTCCTGATCCTTGATTGTTTGCAAGGGGAATGCCTTTGGTCTTTCTTCATTCAGAATGATGTTGGCTCTTGGTTTTGAGTATGTATTTTTCACTGTTTTGAGGTTTTGTGTATATACTTTTAACTATATTGATGCTTTGGGTTGTGGTGCTGGAGAAGAGTACTGAATAGCCTATGGACTCCCTAGAGAACAAACAGATGTGTCTCAGAGGATGTGAAGCCTGAGTGCTCCTGGGAAGCAAAGACAACAAACCTTTGCCTCACCTATTTTGGGTAATAAATGAGAAATAGTCAGTACTCTTATGCCATCATATTAAGTGTGATTATTGACAGAACAGGTGTTACCATTGCCACTTAGCTGTGCCCTTATTCTCTTGTTGCTGTTGACTTTGGTCCATCCATTTTATTTGCTATCTCTGTGTGAAAGACTTCCCTTGTTATTTCTTTTCTTTTAAAGAAAACCCTCAGCAAATATTTATTTTATTTTATTAAAATAGTTTTTTCATTGTTGAACTTCCTTTCTCCTCCCAAACCACCCCACAATGCAGCCCTTGTTCCAGACTGTTGTCATACATATAATACCTAATCATATTATTCCTTTCTGACAGTTCTTCCCCTCATGTGATCTAATCCAATGTTCATTATCTGTCTGCTCTTTTCCTTTTTTCTTCTCAACCACCCCATGTCTGTCCTATTTTATAACAGCAGTGTTATGCAGTATTGTCCTTTTGTGACTCAGATATTTCACCCAGAATAATGTCCTCCAGGCTCCCTCATGTTCTGTAATATTTTATGAGTTCATTATTTTTCAATAATGCATATTCCATTGTGTGAATGTACTATAGTTTTTCTATCCATTAACTTGTTGATAGGCACTTGGCTATTGCGAATAAGGTAGCAATAAACGTGGGTGTACATAAATCTGTTTGAGTCATGGCTCTGGTTTCTTATATTCTCAGTAGTGGATTTGCTGGGTTAAATGGTATTTCTATTTGCAACTTTTTGAGAAAGCTCCAGACTACTCTGCATAGTGGCTATACCATTTTACATTTTCATCAGAAGTAACTAAGTCTTTCCACAACCTCACCAGCATTTGTTGTTTGCTTCCCTGTTGAACTTTGCTGTTGTTGCTGGCGTGAGATGGTATCTCATAGCTGTTTTTCCTGTAGTATTTCTTGTGCTGTAAGTCTTTTTGTCCCATTAATGCCTTAGTTTCCTGCTTTTATGCAAATAACCTAATTTCTCCTAATTTGATGGACAGTTTTGCAGGATACAGGAACCTCAGCATTTCTGATATGCTTAAACCTATTCTTACAGTTACTGTATTTACCCAGTTTGTTGAAGATCTTCCTCATTTTCTTTGATCCTCCACCTTTCCCAAAATGATATCTTTTTCCAGGAACTGGCACCTCCTTACAACATGCTCAAAGTATGAGAAAAATTTCACCATTGTTGCCTTCAGGAACACCCTAGTTGCACTGCCACCAAGGTGGATTTGTTCATTCTTTTGGAAATCCATGAGATATTCAGTACTCTTCTCCAACACAGTTATACCCCTCTATATATATCCCCCCAAATTAAAATTATATAAACAAATGCAAACTTAAATTAGTAGTACTCTTCATAGCACTCCAGTTTGGAAGCTCATTTGTGAAGCTGTTGGATTCTGGAAGGTGTATTCTTCTTGTTTTAATGGAGGATCACGTGTGGGCTGTTTGGTTGTTTTTATTTCATTCACAATCATGTGTAAACTGATTGGATTTGCTGAATTTGACCAACAATCAGCTGTGGGCTGGAAGCCTCTTGTTTAGAGCCAGTCAGGATCTGATGGGCAGGCCTGTGTATCAGTTGGGCCCAACTAAGTCTCCAGTTTAGAGGTTCTTGTGAAGCAGTTGGATTCTGGAAGATATGTTTTTGTTTTGGTTGAGAGTCAGGTGTGAACTGTTTGGTTTTTATTTCATTCAGAACTGGGTGTGAGCTGTTTGGATTTTCTGGATTTGGCTAACAATGAGCTGTGGGTAGGAAGCTTCTTGTTTAGAGCCAATCAGGACCTGGTGGGCAGGATGTTGTATTTAAAAGTTGGTTGGGCCCTTGGACCTGATGCTAATTGATTTTGGAATGAACACTGTACTTAGTGGTACAGCACTGCTCTGTCAGTTCGCTGTACTGGGTAACATGGGGTTGCTGTGATGTTGAGCACTGTACAACTGGTGTGTCAAATGCTGTCATTGTTACCCATGGTGGACAGTGTTTGGTGGAGCTCCCAGAATAAGAAAGGCTTGGAAGCAGGCATGCCATCCACTTCCTAAAAAAAGTGCCTCTGGCAACACTATGAACTTAGGGAAATGACAACAGTTACAGAACAGGGTTCAAGTCTTTTGTTCATAGGGTCGCTGTGAGTCGTTCTCAACTAGATGGAACTTAACAACAGCAACTTTTAATAGCAAAAAAGGAGGAACCAAATGACTATCAGTGTATCGTTGAAAGGCACAGGAATTTGCAGTAATAGGAATCACAGGACTTTCGAGTAATAAATTCCCATCCATATCCTTTGCCTTCAAGTTGATTACAACTCATAGAAATTCTATGGGACAAAGAACTGCCCCATAGCATTTCCAAGGCTGTTGATATTGACAGAAACATGCTGCCTTATCTGATTCCTATGTAGCCCATCAGGTGAGATCCATATATAAAGTTGTCATTTGTATCTTTTAGAAAAGGTATTTGCAATGAATAAATCATTGTAAATATAACATTCAGTCATTCTATTTCCAGATTTATTTCTATCACCAAGCCCATATTTTCCAACTTTTTCACTATTTCCTGCTTTTGAATTCCAGTTACCCATTATCATAACACATTTTGATTGCATCTTCAGTCAGTTTTGGACTACAAAGTATGTTAAAAACTCTCAATTTGTTCTTTGGCTATAGATGTAGGAGCATATATTTGAATAATAGTCATGTCAAAGGGTCTTGTATGGATATTATGTATGGATATTATGGATAATATCTATGGATATTATCCTATAACTCACAACATTGTATTTCAGGATAGAACTTGAAATTGACTTTTTGACTATGAATGCAACACCATTCTTCCAACCACAGCTGATTATAAACAGAATCAGAAACAGTCAAACAGCTTATACTTGATTGCTAACACAGTTAGAAATGCCCAGTTTATGCCCAGATTTCAAATAAATAAAAACCACTTACCCTCCAGGATCCAACTGTAACAAGCTGGAGGCTTTTTTTGTGGAAGAAATAACTGGAGAAGCTCAATTATTAGCAGTCAAAACTAGGCCAGGGCAGACTGTCGGTCAAATAATCATATGCAAGTTCAAATTGAGGCTGAAAAAAAATTAAGTTCACAAGAACCAAAATATAATCTTGAATCAATTCCATCTGAATTTCATGATCATCTTAAGAATAGGTTTGAGGCATTGAACACCAATGATTGAAAACCAGATGAGTTGTAAAAGGCCATTACAAAAAACAAGAGAAAGAAATAACTGAAATGGATGTCAGAAAAGACTCTAAAGATTGCACTGGAGTGTTGAGAAGCCAAAACTAAAGG